AAAAATTAGCTAACTCTGTTCAAATTCCCAGGTTGAGCTGCATGTGCATTTGGATGGCGCTGTACGACATGCAACGCTTCTCGATCTTTCCATGTACTTTTCGGCTTTGTCATTCCATCAATCTAGTTTGATTTATTGATTAAGTATTTTTGTACATTTATGGAAACGCAAAACGCTTACTGACGGGAGATTGTTGGTGTGCGTGTGTATATATGTATATGTTTGTACGCGTGAATACGTCTGTGTGTGTGTGTGTGTGTATGCTCGCAATTTTGTCACCTAATTTCAACTCAGCAACCGGTGAAGCTATGAAGCTCAAATTTTTAGGGCATTTTTCCACCCAGTGTGTGATGCTCCATTTTCATTAAAATTATCGCTCAGGTACGCCTGGGTCTCGTTAAAAGATGCCAAAATAATTTATGCAAATTTTTTGACGAGAAAATGATTTTGGGAACCAGACAAGGTAGAAAGCTAAAATTTCATAGGGGTATTTCTTGCCCAGAGGATTTCAAATTCAGCTTCACCGCATGCGTAAGCACGGAGATGTCAAAATTGCGATTCCATGCAAGGTGCCAGCTCGGAAACTAGGCTGAGTAAGCTTCTCTAGCTTTAAAAGCAATATTTGTTGTTCACATTCGGATCGGAAGAAGTGAAATGAGCATTCCAGCACGCTCGAGCATACGTGCGAGCATGACGAATTATTTTAGCAGGAAAGCGATCTTGGAACCAGTTGATTTGTTTAATGCAACTTGGCTCTTAAATGCATTTTTCGGTCACGTTTTTCCATTGCATCTCACCTCTACGAAAAGAACGATATCTAACTTTTAAGTGGACCACTTGGTGCCCATCCATTGCAGTTTTAGCGACACTAATCATCTCGAAAAGCTGTTCATATTCCCTCTTCCGCGAACCGCTTTAAAGTAAAATGAAGATTCTTTGAATTCTTGGCGTGCTCCGGCACGCTCCTTCGGATTTAGCTTTAAAAACAGAGCGGAATTCTGACAGTGTTGTACCTTGAAGCGTTTGAAGCAGAACTGCTTTGCTCGACTTGCTTCAGTACAACATCTAAATAAATAATGTGTCAGATCTACCAGGTTTTTCCTTAAGCTTCCCGTACGCATACTAAGCTTTGAATTTTATTAATATACATTTAAATGCTGCTTCATTCCTGGCTCACTTAGCCGCAGCGGTACTATTCTTTAGTAGATTTGCACTCATCCAAATCTGATTACTAGAAATGCTTTTTCTGCACTGTCAGATATGCATTTTGAAACACACTGTAATTTGACAATGATGAGGCCATTTACCCTTTTGTAATACAATGATGTGCCGCGCTTCAGGAATTCATCAAAAGTTTTAAATGCACGAAACAGTGGGTTTAGTACATTACCTTCGAGTATGAACTGTGATCTCTTTAATGGCAAAACTGATAATTGCAGTAAAAAGGGAATTGATTTAAATGGAGCCAAGACGGTCGAGGAAGTAAAAAATGCGGTGGTCACTCGCAAGCCAGCAAATCTGGCAAAGATGCTGGAGCCGTTCGATCTCTTCATTCCACTTCTTGCGTTTGACATTTACTTTTACACTCTAGCAAAACTTACCGCTGACGGACCGTTTCGACATGTATGCAGATGCATATTTGTTGTGTCTACTGAAAATCTCAAATTTTTAAAAACAGTTTACAACCTGTTAGGAGTCATAAACCCGTATCTTCGACAACGCCGCAAAAATTAAATGCATTTTCAGGCCTCTCTGTTCTATAATTTCTATTTTCCAGTTCAAAGTGAGGCTTAAATTGTAATTTGAGACAATTAACTTCAGCTCTATTTTAAGAATTGTCAGTGTCATACTCTTATAGCGGTGATAAAAACGCTATTGAACGTGTTGCATATGAATTGTGCGAAGATGCGGCAAACAGTGGAGTCGTTTATTTCGAAGCACGATATTCGCCTCATCTTTTATGCAATACAGTTAAAAATACAGCGGCAAATTCACCGTTTGGAATTTATGTAGAAAATGGCCGGGTGAGACAAACAATTTCCGATCCAAATACTTCTAGTGCTATCAAAAAGTCAGAACACAGGCCTTGAACACAGTGCACCTCAAATGAGACCGGCAAAATTTCGCCGCTGCAGCCAGTCTATTTCAATTTGAACGCTGTTAATATCGATAAGTACTTTCGCAAAAAAAAACAGATATACCTTTAGGCACTTTTTAAACGTCACTGTACGCAGGCGAGCACCAAAAATAAACAGCTATGCACGTAGCCAGACTAATGCGCCCACACATACAATAGTTCATCGTAATGCACTTTGAAAGAGCGTTTTCACGCTAAGCAGCGTCGGTAGGCGCTAAAATTCCAAATCTTTGGCTTCCACCGTCTTGAAATTACAGTCTTAGCTCACGTTCGGAAGTACGATCTCAGTTACAGTGCTTCAATTTTCAAAACTGATTTTCGGCCATTCTTTTTCTGCCTTGTTGGTAAGTTTTGATTATTAAATTTTGAAATTTTTAGATAGCTTTGTTCTCGAACTTCCTTTTTGTTTCGATTTACAAAATCAAATTGAAATTAAACCTGAGGGCGCAAATCAGGAAACAGAGCGACCTTTCAGGTTTGATGCACCCATCATGCTGTGTAAAGTTAGAGTTGAACTGTGTGAATTTCATGGCCTTTGAGCAGAATTATGCAGAAAGGTACAAAAGTGCATAGAAATGTGACTCCGCTGTTAGGTATTTTTGCATAAATCAAGCACGCAAAACCTCATACCGCTAACCGCTCCTAGTTGCATATCTATGGCTGTAAGGTCCGACTGCTAAAACTCCCAAATGAAGCTGCGCGATTTCTTGACAAGAAATCATTAATTGTAGGCATTTACATCACTAACCACTAGCATTTCCCGTCACAGCAGCTACAATAGTGGAACTGAAGAAACCTTTATTGTAAACCAAAATCAAATTTCGCTATTATAATCTAAGTTGCTAATGCAATGGATGAATTCATTACAAAACTTAGTC